TTTTAAGAAACTATATTTTATTTCACATTTAGCTATACATTTAGACTAGTTCACAGTCTACTGCTTCACTAATCACAAAAGCCATAGAAAGCAGATCAAGCCAAACCACTGGTTATGAAACTGAATAAAAAAGTAGAGTTCATAACATCATTGGGATTAACGAGAAAGAAAATAAATTTTTTTCAGTGGCTTAAATCACGAGTTGAACTGAACATATATTTATTTACCCATTTGCATGTTGATGGGCACTTTGGGCTGCTTGGTCTGTAACTATAGTACAGTTTTGGTAGTGTACTTAGCCCTCTGTAGTTTGAGAATTGGTTTAGAGATTTATGTTTATGTTTTGCCCTCCTCCAGGTTAGTCTTCATTCTACCTCATACATAAATTCTACCCCTGGTTTAGCCCTAATAAAGGCCCGATATAGTCTGCGTTTAGATTTGATCAATCAAATGTTTTCTTAGGTAGTACATGGTGTGAAAAGTTTGAAAACAACTGTGCTCTATAAATATTTAGATTTGACACAGTGACATTGTAAGAAATGAAGACCCAGGTAGGACAGAACAGATCTCGTTGGCTGTCATTTACAGTATCCATGTTGTATCACCTCCTCCACCAAAACCCAGAGAGAGTAGGAGGCTGGCCTGAGAATGCTTATTTTAGAGCACTCTCATTAGCCTACACTGATCCCCATGGAGAGACATGAACGCAGCGCAGCTTAACCCAATTCTCTCGGGGTTACAACAAAAAGAAAGATTCTGGTGCAAAAATATTCCACTTGGTCAGAATAGCATCATTTTCATTTATCAGTTTCTATTCTCAGACACAAATGCAATTCTGAAAAAATTTAATATACCTCTCTATGCTGACAGGTCGGTCAAATTTGAACAGAACGTAGTCTCCTGCTGTAGGAGTTATGGCCCAGAAAAAGTCTTCTCCCAAGTATGTTTTTTCCAGAGTATGACCTTGATACACCTGAATTTGAGAGAGAGCTTTTTAGTTTCTCTTTCATATGGGAAATCAGCTGGTCCTGTTTGAATATAATACCTTCATTGAAGTGGAAACCTCTGCAGGGGGGTTGATGTGCATCTTGTGAAGCAAAGGTTTTAAGAAGTCCTTGTCCTGCAGAGAGGTAGAGAGCACACATTGTATCAGTTTGAGTCTAATTTAAGGAAGGTATTAACTTTATAGACAAGGACATACAGTGAGCTTTTGGATTTTTCCAGCCAGAGAGGAATGAAGTCCCACGTGTTGAAAAAGTGAGGGTCGAAACCGTATCCGAAGGCTGGACTTTTGTCTTTCACAGTGTTTCTGTAAAAAGAAAATTACTTTTATAACTTCTGAAACTTCCCTTGACAATGGCATGAAATTGGACATTAACATGAAAAATTAAGCATACCGCATCTTTCTCTGGATTGCAGACTTTGACCCAAAGAATATGGTCTAGCAACCAGTCTATAGGCTTTTCTTTGTAAAACATAAATATAAACTCCACTATAAGGTTTAGATCTGGAGCCTGGAACATTTTCCCTGTAGAAAACGTAAAAGAAAGAACAAACAATCAGAATGCAATTTATATACCAGCCTGTCTGCCAAAAGGAAAATGGACGTTTTCATAGTAATAAAGATAATACATGTTTATGTGATGTTTCAACAAAACAGCAAAAAATAAATTTGAAGCATAAAAAACATACACTTTGTGAATTATTAGTTTGTATATTAAGAGGATATATATAATAATTGGTATTGCTAAACTGTGCTAACTGTGTGAGGAGCTGACTCAGCAGCAAGAGATAAAACTACTTTAGAGGGATTATTGGCCCACAAATGTCACAGCTGCCTTTTTGACATAAGCTGACTATGCACAACTCGCTCGGAGAGATGGACCCCTGGTGGTTTGTCAGGAATCGATTGAACACTTAACAGGCCGTACCAATGAAGCCCAGCTGAGAGAACTCCAGAATCATCCAGTCTTCAGATGAGAGCTGCAGGGCAAAGTTCTTCATAGTGGCAAAATAGTTAGGTTTAGCCACAATGTCATCCTCCAACTGAAGGAAAAGGAAAGAATGGTGAGATGTACACAGCACAGATAAAGCAGGGCTACTGTGAAAAGTGCAGAGAAAGCATGTTGGGAATGAAAGGAAGATGTCTATGTTTACAGAGGAATACGGCTACAGCATGGGCACAGAATACTGCTGAGCTAAACTGCTACAAGTAGGAAATACCTCTTCCCTCCACGTGAGAACAGAATGGGAACAAGGACACACAATGCATCAGGCAGAGAAGCAGACAATAAATGAAGCCATGTATATTTTCATACCATTTGTTTCCATTTTAAAACATGTGTAAGAACTATAGACCAAGATATGATAACAAGAATACTGATTATACATACCTGGACATAGTAAACTCCTTTGCTCACAGCATACATCATGAGGAAAGAATAGTCCAAGTTCTGCTTGGTTCTCCATCTGCACAAAAACATCAATAATATGGCAGCATAGCAAATACAAACTGAACAGGTTACACAAATATACACAGTTCTGCCATTCAAATCAGCTGATAAAGTGAAGGACACATGATATACTGGAGATTGTAGCGAGCTGACTCATTGCTGTTAAATTAGCACATAAAAAGTGTGGGAAGAAGCGAGGAATGCTTCTTTTCAAGGCAAAGACATTTCTAAATATGGAGCAAATAGATTTGACACAGAATCCTCCTAAACTCTTTTGGCCTCTTTACAGTTGGTGTTGTAAAGCCAACCATTAGAAAAAGAATGAGTCTGGACTGAACAAAGCTAAACACTTTACTCAAATAGACACTCACAACTGCAAACAAATACAGTCACCTGGGTCTGAATCGATTTCCATACTAACACACACAGTATTTGACCTACCATGGGCAGATGATAAAGGCAGGGCATAATAGGAGTGAGCACAACAACCACAAAGAGTGCTGCAGCCGATGACCTTGATGTGACTTTGAGAAATGCCAGGCGAATACTAAGTACCCAGGCAGTCTCCCTAAAAGCTTTGGCCTGCTTTAGCTTTAGCCTGATTCACGTCTGCACCTCTTCTGCTGCCCTCATCACACAGTCCCTCATGCCTCTAATAATTATAATTCTCTCTATGATTTAAGATGAAATTATCTTTTATCTCAGTTCAGAGCACACAGCTATCATGCTTCCCTCACCTGACACGCTCTTTGGAGTCTCCAAATGTCTCTTTGAGGGTAGTGAGGTCAGGGTAATAAGCAGCTGGAGGAGAGATCACCTCCAGTAAACCTGAGCTCAGCTCTGTAGAAAACCTGTTAAAAACAAAACACAAGTTAGATTGTTACAAAGAAACTACTTTCAAGTCTTGAATCACAGTTTGGATCACTTACTCTTTCTCAAGGCCAGCAACAACGCTGTTAACATAATCAACATCAGTCTGCAAAAGTTATAAACAAATCTGTTTTACCGCATAGATTTGATTTTAATATTTACTGTGTACAATTATTTAATTACAAGAACTCACCTCACCAACGTACACGATAATTACACAGTCAAGTTTTTCCTCTGGGGACAACTTGTCTATTAGGGACCGCAGTGTCTCAGACAGATAGGATTTCACTTTCCTTTTAACTGTAGGGATTCCCATTACCATGGTAACTAGGAAAAAGCACAGCATAATGTGACAATATTAGAAACAACCATAAAACACTAGCTTTGTTCACATGACAAACTGTAGAGACTGTAAACCTAACTTTAATTGATCTAAAAATAATTGCCATTTCCTATAACAGAGCCATTTACAACATAAAAAAAGTCTATTTTAAACTCTAACAGCTGAAAGACACAGGACGTCAACTGATGAAGTGAGGAGTGGAGATGTGAAATGATAAGAGAAGAGTGCACTATTGTAGTCTCTGGCCACTGTCATCGTCCAGGCCTCCAAGTGGCTGCGTCTGAACAGACCAGTCTTTAGAGTGGAACTGAACACCACGCCAAGAAACAACACACTCCTGTAGACAATAAAGCTCCATTTCAATTACACACATACAAAGATCACTTTGACTTAGCCTTGACTGTCTGAGGGAAGAAATGTGAGATGCTATACAAACAGTCAAGGCTTATGTGAGTAAAATGTCTACTAATAAGACATTAAATGTGCTACTGATAGTAAATTAATAGGTTTCAATCTCAGAAGTTAAAACGCCTTTATTTATCCAGGATACACACACTATTAGCTTTAAGGTAAAGAGAGAGTGTGATAAACACAGAGCATGCCACAGTGGATGCACTTTTTATTGATTTTAAAGCTCAAGGGCACAAAAGAAAATGCATGGTCCAGACCAAGGGAGTTTAGTGGACATGAGAGTGGGTGATCTGTGTGGCGTGGAAAATCTGTCCCACTTTTGCTTTGTGTTTCTCACGCTGAGCTCTGAGACGTACAGCCACAGCCACCATCAGCGCAAAAAGTAGGTCGAGGATGAAAGGAGAATGTGGGAGGAAAGAAAAGAGACAGAAAGGCAACATCAGAGAGAAGCAGCAGCACACAGAGACTGAAGGCCTAATGCGCCCAGCAGGCCCTCTCTGGACACTGCCTGACCACACCACTGTAGGCAGGTTCAACTATTTAAACCCTGGCAAGCGCTGGTTCAGAGTTGAGAAAGTAATGTCCAACAACCTACACAGCAAATGAAAATGTATTTGACTAGTTGCCTTTGAGAAAAATTACATTAATAGTACTATTTCAAAGAACAATAGTAGCCCAGTACAACCCAGGAGATTTCAGATGTCATGAGAACACACCCAGTTTTGTAAAAGGAGTCAGTGTATTGATGCAAATGCAATAGCCTTTACATAATCTTGTCCTACCAAGCAACCAACCAGGCAGGCAATTACATAATTCTAAAATATGCTCAATTCTGAGCCCTCTCTAAAAGGCATCCAGACTTCATTAGTTCCACTCTATTTCATGTGAAAACATGAAATAAACTAAAAAAAATCGTGGTCCTG